TGCGTGGTCTGAGAAATAATCATGTGAATACACATGCGTCTGAGTGTGAGCGAGTCTGAGTGTGAGCGAGTCTGAGTATGTGTGCGCTTGCCAGTGATTGTTAGTATCAGTATGGGTCCGAATATCAGTGAGCACGAGTGTGGGTGATTGGAAGTATGAGTGACCGAATGCGGGTAACCTCTAGTATGACTCAGCTGAGTACGACTAGACCTGAGTGCAACTAGGCCGAGTTGAGCATGAGTGCGGCGCGAGGGAGGCGGGTAGGGCGGAGGTGGAGGTGTCTCACTAGCAAAACGAACACTCTCTCAGGATACAGGGAGACAGCTTCGACTCTGAGCCTCGAGGCCGAATCGACAGAAATCTGGGTAGCTGGCGTCCCCCAGCAGCCTGCGCAGCCTGCGCGGTCGGACGCCATTCCTGCAGGGGCGCTTCCTGACGGCGGCGGCGGGCTGCGATAATCAACGAGAGTGCCGCGCAGGCCAGTCGGCGGAGCCTACTGTAGGCCTCCTCCTCGTCCTCCTGCTCTTCCCTTTTTCTCCTCCTTCTCATCCCCTTCCTCTTTTCCCCCCTCCCCCCCTCACCTCTGCCTCCTCCCACAACTCCCTCATCTTCCCTCTGCTCCTCCCCCACCCCCTTCCTCCTCGTCTTCCTCCACGTCCTCTTGCTCTTTCTCCTCCTCCTCCTTCTTCTCTGTACGCTCCTTTGCGCGCTTCTCGGCTACACGCAAGTGTGACCCTAAAGAGGCAAGAGGGACCTCTGGTGCGCGGTTTGCCGATCGCTGCACTCGATGCGGCAGTACCAGCATGCGTGCTCGGGTGTGCCCCCCCCACCCCCCCCAGCGCCCCACCCTTTCTCGGATGGAGGCAGGCCTGCTAGGTACGTGTACGTGTGACCCTGTCTCGCCATCTCCCTCCCTCTCTATCTCTCTCTCTCTCTCTCGCTCTCTCTAATTATCTCTCTCTCTCTCTATCTCTCTCTCTCTATCTCTCTATCTCTCTATCTCCCTCTCCCTCTCTATGTTTCTTTATCTCTCTCTCTCTCTCTCTCTTTCTCTCTCCGCGCATCAGGCTGCAGCGTCCCAGTGCCTGCTCCAGGCCACCTGCGCGAACCCGGGGCGTTTCGCCCCAAACTTCCGCCGACCTCCCACGGCGGGACTGCCTGGCTCGCTGCGCCTCGTCGGCCACCGCCCGCCTGGAGCACCGTTCGGGGAGGGACCACCGAATCTTGGAAGGCGCCCTGTCGAGGCGTCTCCAGCCCCTGGTCTTCTTGGGCGTTGCTTGCAACAGTGGGGGGGGCGATCAATGGGGGGAGGGGGAGAAACGTGTACCTTTCGCGCCCCGTTTGGGCCCCAGGGGGGCCCCTTCAGGGCACAAAAAAAAGCATCTTCCTTCGCCCCCCAAGCGATCGCCCCCCCCCCCACACTGAGCAAGGCCTGGTCGTCATCCTCGCGCCCCTCCCCCCCCCCTCCCCGCCCCCGGGTTGCGCTACCGCGCCGCTCGGGGTCTCGGTTTACCCTCGTCCGTTGAGGACCGTGCTGGGCCGATCTGCCGTCGGCGCTCGCGAAATGGAGCCGACGCGCGCGCGCTTCGCATGGCCCGCGTGCCGCCGCGGCGCAAAGTGCATCGACGAGGCTTCCGCAACTCGTCATGCGACCCCCCAAAGTGTCGAACCACGAGAAGATGTGCTACAGGTTCCCGTCCATCCGCCGCGTGCAGTGGCCCTCGACGCAAGTCGTTTTCACCCCGTCCCGCGGCAGCGTCGCCGTGCGCCGGCCTCAAGCGCGGGGCGCGCGCGCGGCTTGCCGCGCGGCTCAGACAGACTTTGTCCGAACCAGGGCTCTCCCTCTCTCTATCACTCTCACTCTCTCTATCTCTCTCTTTCTTTTCTCTCTCTCTCTCTCTCTCTCTCTTCTCTCTCCCTCTCTCTCTTTCTCCCTTCCTCTTTTTGTTGCTTCTCTTTCTCTCTCTCTCTCTCTCCCTCTCTCTCTCTCTCTTTCTTTCTCTCTTTCTCTCACTCCCCTCGGTCACCCAAGTTCGCGCATCAAGCCCCGCGATGCGCGGTTATCTTCGCGCCCTTGCCGCCGCACTGGAGAGTGGCGCTTCTCCAACCCAAGACGCGACGCGCGACGCGAGATTATCTTCGCGCCCCAGGGGGGGACCTAGCTTCCTTCTCTCCTTCCTTCCTTCAAATACTATCTCCGCTCAAGCTCTGAGCCGCACGTGCCCTGCCGCTGTGCCAGCCCAGCTGTGCCCACTTGGGCAGCAGACCATGGCCGCCTGCCGAGCAGGGTAGGGGGGAGTGCTCGCGCCTCGTCGACGAGGCCGCAGACGGCTCCGCGTGCATCGGGCAGAAGCTGATCACCGACCTCGCCTGGGCGCTCGAGGTCAGCGAGGTACGTTACGGGTCATCTCCAATCGGGGGCGCGCGCCTCGTCGTCGAGGCCGCAGACGGCTCCGCGTGCATCGGGCAGAAGCTGATCACCCACCTCGCCTGGGCGCTCGAGGTCAGCGTTAAGTCGGAAGTGTCCCCGTACAGGCGGATTCTGGACGAAAAATGCAAAAATCCTCAAAGAATACTCCAGGCTGGTTCAAAGTAGTCCAAACATCGTCCCCATAGTATTTTTTGACCATTTCTGGATTTTCCTCCTGCAGAGAGACAGGCCCGACGTAAGGTCAGCGAGTTACATTACGGATCATCTCCAAGCAGGCGCGCGCGCTCGAACACTCCGAGGCCGCCGAGGGCCTCAGAGGCGCGGCCGGCGGCCCCACGCAGCTCCAGCCCGAAGAGGTTGACGTCGTGGCGGCCAGGGGTGCCGCGGCATCGGGACGGTTCTGCGTGCAGGCAACGGGCTGCCCTCCGCAGGGGGGGAGGCCCGGGAGCTCGCGGAGGCCGGCTTCGACGCAGGGGGGTGGCCAGCGCAGGGCACGGCGAGGCCGTGGCTGGGCCCCCGGCTGCCTGAACGGAGGGAAGACGCCCTCTGCACGCGGCCGCAGCTGCTGGCCTCGGAGGAGGAGGCGCCCGAAACGGACGGGGAGGTCGAGTGGGAGGCGAGCGACGGGGAGCAGACGAACACCTGGAGCGTGGAGCTGGCGAACTAGCCCGAGGTGGAGGCCACTCCTTCCACTCAGCCGGGCTTCAGTCCGTGGATCCGCCAGCGCCCATTGGCAGGGCGCTGGCGTTCCGAGGCCCCGGCAGCGCAGGCAGTGCATGCGGCGATGAGGCAGCCCTGGGTGCACATGGGGGCGGAGCGAACTGCCAGGCGCGCCGGCGGGCCGCAGAGGCGAGCAGGCCACAGACACCGCCCTCGCCCCAGCGGAGCCGCCTGTCCAAGGGGGCTCGGGCCGAGTGTTGCTCGGCTCGAATGGCAGCGCCGCTTGCTCGGAGTACCCCGACGTTGCCAAGCATTCCCCTCTTCGGACACTCGGAGGCCAGCGCGCGATGTCGAAGAACGGATGCGTCATCAAGGTCCGCGCGCTCGAGGGCTGGCCGAGCCAAGACAGAAGCGGTGTCTGGCAGCACCCTCCTCGATTTTGCGCTGGTGGTGGGCGGCACCACCACTGGCCGCGCGACGAACGAGGCTGAGGCGCTGGCCCTTCAGTGCCCAGCGCCACCATCAATCTTGCGCTGGCGACGGGTGGCAGCACCGTCGACCACGCGATTGCCGAGGCTGAGGCGCTGGCGCGCTCGGTGGCCATGGCCACCGTTGGCGAGGCGCAGGGAGGCGAGCCCGAGCAGCCAGCGCCCCAGCGAGAGGTGAAGTCGCGGAGCACGAGGACAGTGGCTCCATCACTGAAACCAGAATCGGCCAGCTCTTCCTGAGAGGCCTCCCAAACCGGATCAGACTAGATGGGGTCGATGCACCAGCGACGTAGGCGTGGAGAAAATTGGGCTCCACATCGAGCCGCACCGCCGCATGCATCGGCGACGCGCGTTCCTCCGATACCAGCTGCGCGGACCCCATCCGGGAGGCCTGGGATTCGTGATCCCAGGAACAGTCAGCATCGAATCGAGAAATCGGATCGGGTCGGAACGTGTATCGAATCGAACCGCATCGGCTCGAAGTCGGAATCGCATCGAATCGAATCGACGGGGCCAGGATGCACAACAACGCCACGCGCAAGCATGGGGCTTCTCTCTCTCTCTCTCTGGTACTTCCGCTCTCTGTCTGCCTGCCTGCCTGCCTGTCTGCCTGCCTGCCTGCCTGCCTGCCTGCCTGCCCGTCTGTCCGTCTGTCTGTCTGTCTGCCTGCCTGCCTGCCTGTCTGCCTGCCTGTCTGTCTGTCTGTCTGTCTATCTGTCCGTCTGTCTGTCTGTCTGCCTGTCTGTCCCTGACGGTCCCTCTCCCTCTCGCTCCTCCTCTCCCCTCCCCACCTCCGAGAGAGGGGGCCGAGGCGGACGGAGGAGGGGGAAGCAGGAACACACACACACACACAGAGAGACACAGAAGCCCACTCCCAGACGGTGCTCGCCCTTCGGGCCTGCCCGAACCCGCGCTCGAGCACGCGCCCGCGCCCGCGCCCGCGTGTGCGCCCGAGCCCGAGCCCGAGCCCGAGCCCGAGCCCGAGCCCGAGCCCGAGCCCGAGCCCGAGCCCGAGCCCCCAGCCCGGGCCCGAGCCGGGGCCCGAGCCAAAGCCCGAGCCCGGTGGGACCTGTCACTTCGGATGGGTGCGGCGAGGCTCCGCCGGGTGGGCGGCCGCGGGCGCCTCGTGGGCGCCCCGTGCGCCGGGCGAGCCGTGGGCGAGGCCTCGTCGGGTGGGCGGCCGTGGCCGCCCCGTGGGGGCCCGAGGTTCGCGGCGAGCCAGTGCAGTCAAAGTCTGGCTGCGGAGGAGGAGGAGGAGGAGGAGGAGGAGGAGGAAGAGGAGGAGGAGGAGGAGGAGGAGGAGGAGGAGGAGGGGGGGGAGGATGAGGATGAGGGTGGGGAGGAGGAGGTGGGGGGGGAGGAGGAGGAGGAGGAGGCGGAGGAGGAGGGGGAGGAGGAGGAGGAGGAGGAGGAGGAGGAGAAGGAGGAGGAGGAGGAGGAGGAACATCAGGCAACAGAAGTGGCGGAGCAAGCGCTTTTCCGAACGGTGCCGAACGCTGGGAGGGTGCCGCCAGACTGCAGGGTGCGGCCGCCCCCCTCGCGGTGGCGTTCTGTCCCTTTTCGCCCTCGCTGCCTGCAAGAGGTGCACATCCACCAGCTGTGCGAGCAGCTCGAGCGACCAGGCGAATGGCCATGCATAGCATCGACTGCTCAGGCAATTGCGGCCCGAGTGACACGATAAATGGCCAGAGCAAGCGCGGCTGCACGATTACAACGCGCACTGCGTCTTACAGTGCGCGGCCGCAGGGCCTGGGGAGAGAGGAGGGCGGGAGGCAAGGAGAGAGCCGTTGAGGCGGAACGCTATGGTTAGGTCGGGCCTGTCCCCATACAGGAGGATTTTGGACGAACATAACTATTTTTCTTTAAACACCAAACTGCTCCAAATATGATCTTAACATAATTGTATACAGTGGTCCCCAGACTATTTTTAACTATTTTTGAATACTCCTCCTGTAGAGGGACAGGCCCGACTTAAGGCTAGGGCGGGACTGGTTCAGAGGGGAACATCGATCGGCAAAGCCGCACGGTCCCGGGCGGGGCGGGCTATCGGGCCCCTCCTGGCGATCATTGAGCGATTGGGGGTTGCTGCATCCTACCTGAGCCCATCCGCCCCTAGCGTTGCCCCGATCGTCGTTCAGCTCTCGGACTCTGGCTGGGGTCTCCGGCGGCAGCTCGAGACGACCTGGACAACCCCGCAAGGCTCTCGGCGAAGCGCAGCTGCTGGAGAGCACCCCGAGGCCGGGAAACCGCCGAGAACCGACGAGAAGAAGTCCGAAAGCCTACCCCCCCCCCCAGCGTTGTCCCTGAGCAGTGCCCGCATCAGTCAGATGTTCCACTGCGGCAGCGGGGCCGGCCGCCCGAACCGGGACTCCCGCGCGAAGGCCCTGCCCCGCCGCAGCTCGAGCCCCGTGGCCCCGAGCGAGGGCGCCGAGCCGCTGCGCGGTGGGATGCAGGTGGCCTGCTCGCTGCCGGCCGCCCGGAAGACGGACTGCGCGCCTCCGGCGCTGGAGCTGCGGCCGCTCGCCTCCATCGGGGAGACAGAGGAGGGGGAGGAGGAGGAGGAGGACGAGAAGGAGGAGGAGGAGGACGAGAAGGAGGAGGAGGAGGAGGAGGAGGAGGAGTCTCGGGTTCGGGGGACTCGGGTTGCCATCATGCGCTCGAGCGCGCCACTGGGTTTCAAGCCATCGGGTCACCAGGGGAGTGGCGCCTCATACTTTACGGGAGGAGGTCCTGATGTGAATACAACTGACGGGGCCGTCAGGAAAATGATGAGGCCCAGTCTGAAATCTGACGCGAGCTCCCGCTGCAAGCATTCCACAACAACTGGGCAGTCTGAATCCAGGACGGGCCCGTCAAAGAACGTCAGTAAGCCCGAGTTCAGGCAAACTCGAATCTTACGTTTTCCCGACTCTAGGGGAACAGCTACAAAAACAGAAGCACAAACTTTCGCAAGGTGCGGCGCGGGCTTCTCGGATCTGCGCTGGACCCCCCTCCCCCCGGGGCGCGCCAGGGGCGGCGCCGGAGGCGCCGCCAGGAGGCTCCAGCGTCGTGTGTGTTTATGCCGCCTCTCTTCTTCTTCTTCTTCTTCTTCTTCTTCGAGCCTCGTGCGAGGCGCTGCCCAGGTCGCGCTGAGTCTGGAAGCGGTGGTCGACGATGCCGGAGCCCGCGACGCAGGTCGGGGATGCCCGCCTGCCCGCCTCCTCCGAGCGCCTCCGAGGGTGCTCCTGCAGCGCGGCCGCGCCCTCGCTGCCACCCAGGGAGCCACCGAGCCCGAGCTGCGTCCCGGCGTACTGCCGCGGCACGATCTCCTGGATGACCCTGCCTTATGTTGCATCCTCGGGGGACCTCGGCTGTCCCGTCGCGGCCCCACTCGCGTCGAATCCGTGTCGAATCCGTGTCGGCCTCGTCGGATCCGTGTCGAATCCGCGTCGAATCCGCGTCGAATCCACGCCAAATCCGCGTCGAGTCCTCATCGAGTCCGCGTCGGGTACAACAGAAGACACCAATTTGCGGGACAGGAAGGGTCCCCCGAAGATGCAACGTAACCTGCCTCCGACGCGGTAGTTGTCACCCGAGCGGAAGCTGCCGCTCAGCTCCGTGACGCCGACCCCGTAGGGCCACAGGTTCGTGGCGCGCGTCTCCAGGACGTCCTCGTTGAGACTGACCTCCACGACCTCGCCGAGGACGACGTCGTGCTCTGGGTGCTGGTGCGCCTGGAACCACGCGCCGTACGACCGGTACGGCCTGCCCGCCGCTGGCTTGACCACGGGGTTGCGCACCTCTCGAGGGCGGCCAAGAAGGGGGCGTCCAAGAGGGGGGGGGTGCGGCATGTGCGCGGCCCAAAGGGTGGAGGGGTGTGTGTGTGGGGGGGGGGGGGGGGGGGGGGGCGGAGAGGTATTGAGATAAGAACAGGCGCTCTGAAATCTGGGTAGATACCATGGCCCCCGCCATGATACCCCCCAGGCCCGAATCATCACCCCCCTCTTGGCCGCCCTCAGGCCTCCTGCAAAGGCAGGAAGGTGCCTCGAGGGGGCTCGATGTATACACCATGTCGTTTGGTCGGCCAGGGAAGCAAGGAGTTCGGCGAAGGGAATCAGCGTATAGACGCTCCAGCCTCCCAAAGGTCGGGCAGCCAGGGCGTCTATACAACGAGCCCCCTGGCCGACAAGCTGACGTGGTCTATATGTCGAGCCCCTCCCAGTGCCGGGCAGGTGGCGGCCGAGGTGCTTCAGGGGGTAGGGGTGCGGCATGTACGGGGCACCGTCTGCGGAGACCTGCGCCGCCTCGGCCGCACCGCCGCGCGGCTTCGCGTCCTGGAAGGCGCCCGTGCCCGCGCCCGAAGCGCGGCCCATGGCGCGAGGGCGCCCAGCCAGGTCGCCGTGCCCGTCCCGATGTGCAGCGCTCGGCCGCGGACGCGCGCCGCCCTGCGCGGGCCCCCCCCCCCTGGGGCCCAAACAACTGCATCGGCGGGGGAGGAGCAGGGAGGGAGGGGGGGAGGGAGGAGGAAGCCCCCGAAGGGAGGGCAGGATGATGATGATGATGATGATGATGATGATGATGATGATGACGATGAGGAGAAGGAGGAGGAAGAGGAGGAGGAGGAGGAGGAGGAGGCAGGAGGGGGAGGAGGAGGAAGTTCGAGCGCCAGCGGGCGCTTTGGAGAAGAACAACAATGATAATGATAATCAAGGTATAGCGTAAATTGGATAAAGTATTAAGGTGTGAGACGTTTTTGCACAAAGGGGTTTGCAGTTTGCTTCGCAGTTTGCTTTGCAATCGCTTTGACCCGCGGGCTTGAGCCCAGAGGCGACAGAACGCACAGCAGAAGAGATGGGGCTTAAGCAAATATCCCCTTCGACTCTCCTCCCGTGCCGTCGCTCTGGCTCGGTGCCCGCCGTCTCATAGGAAAAGACTATACAAGTACGATTTGAGAGGCACGCATCGTAACTACAGCGGCCGATTCATGAGCTCGCCCGTGCATTTCCCAGCTTATACAGTGCAAGCGCGTGCTTGTATTGCTACCTACGTTCCCGGAGAAAGAAATACACTAAAGAACCCGTCCTCCGTAAAACGAGGCACTACATCTCGAGAGTCACGATACAGTCTAGAAATACAGACATACACGCAAAACGAAGATCACGACCGTCGCCTGCACGTTTACGCTGGCGCGAACGGCTATGGCGGCCAGCCACGCCGAGGTGCAAGAAAGGATGCGGCACATTTCTATGCCGACATCTGAGCGTTGCCTACCACGGACACATTTCTATGCCCTTGGCTCAGAATAGCCTGCCGCGGGCACATGTCTATACCCCTGGCTCAGATTGTCGCCGTTGTACTGCCTGCGGAGTGCTGCGTGCGGTGTGATGTGGACAAGTCAGTTCCTTACCACAGTGCTCCCTGTGGTCTCCTTCTTGCCCTGGACGCATGTGGTGCATGCTCCAGGGTGCACCGTGCGGTAGTCCCCTCTGTTGCCACAAGCTACGAGTTGATCTCGTGGCACGGACCCCTTCGTCAGCCCATCTTCGAGCATGTCACGGGTGTCAGACCAACAGAGCCCGCGGAGCGCTCGGGTTGCGAGGCGCTCGCGCAAGGAGAGCACGTGAAGCTTGAGACTTCTTTCCAAAAGCTTTCCCAAGCCCGTAGCGGCAAGGCAATCAAAGACACTACTGACGAATCCTCTGGACTCGCCTTGAAAACTGCGTCGGTGACACCAACTAGTCGGAGCGGACCCTTGAGCTTCCGAAACATGATTCCCGGCTTGTGCCGCCGCACCCACCGTAGCACCATGTTCAATCGCTTGCAATCCTTCGCCCGCGGCCTTTGACCGCGTCGCTGCAGGGCTTGAACTTACACGCAGATGGCCTCCACAATCAACACACAACTAAACAACGCCCCCGAGAAGAGTCGCGTAGCTCGAAGCCGCCTCCTCATTCACCTCGTCGTCGCCTGACTGACCTGCAAAGAGACGGCGGTCCAGCTCGAAAAGCGGCGCCACATACTTCTCTCCTGATGTGTGTAGATACCGTCTGCGCGAGAGACGTGCTCTGTTCCCACATGTGTGAAGTTGTCCCGCTGTTGCGTGCAGGTGCCAACGTACTTTTCCAAGTGCTGTAGGAGTTGCAGCGCTAGCTTCCGCGGTGCTCCTCCCTTGAGATCGTCGATGTGTGCTGACAAAATCATCGTTGGGTGCATCTGCTCGTGTCGGACGTACAACTGGGCGTCGGCATGCATAGCTCAAAGGCCGAACTCCTCCAGAACGAGGTGCAGCTTCTCCCGCCACGCTCTGGGAGCATATTTGAGCCCGTACACTGCCTTCACCATGATGAAACTTCCTCCCTGGGGTTGAAGGTTTCGAAACCAGAGATCGTCTTGAACAGCTCCGTGTCCTCGCGGTTAAGCTCAAACTGCACCATTCGAAGAGGCTCGCCCGCAAGTTGCGACAGTTCTTCAGAAGTGAGTCCTTCAGCAAATGCTGCCGACACGTCGAAACTGAACAACGCCCAGTCGTCCTGCTGCACAATTGCTGCGTTGACCACTCTCTGGCCCCATCGCGACGCAGTCCCGGCGAAGGTGGCCAGATTACTCTCCATGTCCTTGAAGCCTCGCATGGTGAGCCAAGCTTTGATGAACTTCTTGAGATCACGGTGCTTCCGCTTGAGTACCCAGCGTGTCTACTACGTTGTGCGCCCGTCTCCTCGGATACCGTTTGAAGCACCCCAGCTCGTATAGTGAAACAAGTTCTGCTCTCTTCGATTCAACTATCTCCATCGCGTGTTTCACCATGTCTTCCTTGCTGAGGTCTGTCAGGGATTTCGAGATCACGGTCTTCTGTTCCCCTGTCACTGTGTTCCACACATTCACCACTGTCTCGCCGTCGTGCACCATATAACCCATTCCAATATGACTCTGCGCTGCCACTCCCTCGAACCCAATCTCCACTTCTTCTAGCAGGCCGTCGCAGCGAGTCGGAACACAGTCGTTGGCTAAGGACGTGTCCATTCTTAGCTCGCCGTCGTCGCCGTCTGGTAGCTCGTCGCCCTGGTCGCTGTTAGCTCCATTGATCTCGTTGGCCCACAGCTTTCAATCAAGTTCCTCCTCATCCTCCTGTGATGGTCTGTTCTGCTGAATGGTTGCTGCGTTTTCGGCTGTCGGCAGCAGGGGTTGATGAAGCTGCGGGTTCGAGTCCGATGAGGCTGCTCCTCCTGTCGGCTGTACCAGTTGCGTCAGCAATGCTGCAGGAGTCGGTACCGCGTCGTATTGGATTGGGGAAGCCTCTGACGCTGGAGTGGGGTAGTGAAACAGTCGGTGCAGGTGATGCGCCTTCAATCGTCGAGGCTAGCGGTGGGAACATCTCTATGCCCGTGCCGCTTGAATGGTCGGCTGTGTTTTCCGTCGTAGCCACTGCAAGGTTTGACGAAACTCTTGGCGTCTTTTCTGGCGCTCCTCCGTGTTTGGGCGGTGAGTGCACTCCAGGCGCATACTTGCGCGGTGCTGCAACCAAATCCCACACTGTAGCTTGTGATCCGGCTGCTGGCCACGGCAATGGTTGTGGTCGGTCAGGCGGAGATGGTTTAGCCACAGGTGCTGGTTGTACTCCTGGTGGTGTTCTCGATCTTGGAGTGGCCATCTGCTTCGCCTTGGTGGTCGGAGGCGACGGTGGTGGACCTCCCAATTGCATCGAAACCTCAATTGGAAAATCGGCTTTCGCGAATGGGCTTCTAGATCTTGGGTGCAGATGGAGGTAGTGGTGGCTTAGGGTGGCTGCTCATCTGCACCGGAATCCACGTCATCGAAGATGACGCTTTGCTTGGTGGAGTTATTGTTTTGTTTCTACATGCTCTGTCGTCTCCTCTTCGTCCTCCTGCGGCACGTGGTGAAGGTGGAGGGGGAGGAGTGGTGAGAATCACGTCAGGTGTTGGTTGCTTGATTCCTGGTGTTCTCGACCTGCTCGAGTGTGTTGTTATCAACCGTCTGAGTCGCTCAGCTCCTCCTCCGGGTGGTGATGGAGGTGGGGGTGGAGGTGGAGGCGGAGTCAAGCTTATGAGATCGTTGACGGGAGGGCTTCTTAGAGTCCCCGTGCTTTCCGTCGCCTGCGATTTAAATCTGCTTGCGTCCATCCTGCGAGGGAGCATTGGAGGCGCGGGAGGTGAAGGTGGAGTCGACTGCGGAACGACCGCCAGCACGTAATGCATCTTAGGCGGCGGCAGGGTCGTCGTCGTAGGCTTCGGTGGAGTCGGCGTGTGGTGCACATCTCTACGCAAGCAACTGTCGGAAAATCGTGTTGTCGGCGCTGATGCTGGCTTCGTTCTAATCGGCACGCGTTGAGGCGGACAAATCGTGCCCCCCTGCGCGCCATCGACGTCCAGATCGGGAGTCCGAGGTTCGGGAGGTGGTGCTGGAGTCGAGTAGGTACGTTTGGGGACAGGACGTATTGGAGTCGATGGGGCAGGAGCGGCAGGAAGCAATTTGGGTGAGGGAAAGGTCGGAAATAAGGAGTCGTCGTCTCCCTCCTCCTCCCTCCTCCTCCTCCTCCTCCTCCTCCTCCTCCTCCTCCTCCTCCTCCTCCTCCTCCCAACCTGGCCGCTTCCTGCAAGAAATCGTACTCCAGGATGCTGCCGTATGAGTGAGCTACTCTGTGTCGTCGGCCGCGGCCCCGAAGAATTGGAGCAGGCAACAGTCGGTCCACACAGCGGCGCCATTCTGGATGTCAGGGTCGTGCTTGGCCAGGCTCTTGATGTGGATCGGTTCGTTGACGTCCCCGTGCTCGCTATTGAAGACGAACGGCTCGTCGTCTACGTCACCGCCCTGTAGAGTCGATCGCCATATCCAGATCTCGCTGTGCGTGAAGCCTTGCAGCGGCTGTAGTATTGCCGCCCCCCTGGCAAGCCTGATGGTGTTACACGTTTCCATGCGCACCACGGTGGCTGCCAAGAAAAGCCCTGCGTCTAAAACTCGCCTCCCTGTTGTCGAGATGCTGTCCCGAAATAGATGCCACCCTGGATTGTTCTCGCTGTTGCGCAGGATGAGGCCGTACGTCTTCGCGGTGTTGATGCTGAAGTCTTCCACCGTCTCGCGTACCAGCTGCCGCTGCCTATGTGGATGCTGTTTCTGGCTTACCAAGAATACCAAGCAAGCTACGCGTTCGCGAACTTCCTGCCCGCGTCTGTCCAGAGTACGTCCTTGATACCGCATTGTAACGACCTTTTCTGCAGCCTGTATGGTGTGAACAATGGCCGGGCCACGCCATCCGCTGACGTCCTTGGTCGTTGGCTCAAGCCAAATGTCAACTTGTTGTCCTGGCTTGAGCCTGGCCAATCTCAATGCTGGTCGGGTGCGGTGGTGTTCTGCTCGTCGTAATCGGTCCTTGGCCGTGTGCTCAATGATCGTGCTCAAAGCGATCTCGCGGATACGCGATTGGTACCGTGACAGGGTTTCTCCTCGTGGTAATT